CCCCCCCACACCTGTCAGGTCATCCTCACGTCTGCTGTGCCTTCAGGGGGATATGAACGGAAGCCGAGGCTCCTTTTCCCTTCACACACCCCCTTCCTTTGTTTAGTATGGGGGCAAAGGTCTCTCCTAGCTGTTCATTGGGCTCTAACAGAGAAGACATCAGGTGGGGTCCTGCCCTTGTGTTTCCCATTAGCTGGAGGGGTGACTTAAAATAAAGGCAAACAGCTTCTAATTGCTTGCTAGGGCCGATCCTGGGCTAAGTGCTTTACAGGTGTTGTTTGGGGTCTGTGCCTCCCAACAGCCCCGTGAGAGAAAGTGATCACTCTCATTTCTGGGCCATGGAAGCCAAGGCACGGAGTGGTTAGGCTGCTTGTCTGAACTGCGTGGTGCTGAGACCCTAACTCCAGAGTCTGCTCACATAATCCCTGAGCCACACTGCCTCTCGTTTCAGCCAGGGGCTGTGTCATTTCGTTTGTGCTCCAGGGTAGAGGTAAACAGTTGTCTGGGTTACTGGGTCCTGTTTGGTGTTACCATAAGGAGAAGTTTGTACTTTACTCTACAACCTTATTCTGCATCTGAAAGACCAGAGTTAGCTCCTGAGGCAGAAGGCTGGAGCAGCTTGTAGTTTTGCTATGGTCATCACAGGATTGAAAGATTTGGTGATGATAAAATTACCCTGAATTTGTACGGCCCTTCTTGCAAGAACCAACAATATCCATATCCTTCCTGCAACATTGTGCTGGCATTTCTAGAGCTTGTCAAGTTGGTCACCAGGCCAGTCTTTGCTGCCAATGGAGACTGGGCAGTGGGTTAGCATAGGTGGTTTACTTTGGCAAGTTCAGACAGCTGTTGGATTTAGCCATCTCCCACAGGCCACAATCAGATGCTTGCATGCACATGGGTTGAACTTTGGGTTGGGAGCGTGAAGTCACCTGCTGCCCACTCTGGCTCTTGGGCCTCAGCAGTAATTCTTGGCTTTCCTACCCTCAGCATATTGAGTGGGAATAAGGGGATGAATGGAGAATTTCTGGAAGGCACAGATAAGTGCTAGGCGTTCACATACATCTAGGATGACTGAATATTGCCTGGGGTTCTCAGCCAGGCGGTGCCACTGCAACCACAGTGCCTAGCTGCTGGTTTGGCCTCCTCCATATAGCTGCCAGCTGGGTGCTCCCCTCCCCCTGCCTTCTCCTCATTCTGGCAGTGCTGCTTCATGGTGTCTGTGTTCTCAGCTGCCCGTGCACAACGTGCCTGTTTGTGAAGATGCAGAGGAGCTGTCCTGTTGAGAGCCAGAGGGATGGAGCTGTTTCAGTGGGATCTGGACTTTACCTGTCTAATGGGCAGGCACAGGCTGGGACTGAGCTGAAGGGTCTGAGAGAGACTGTGGATCCCCAGAGCTGTGCCCTAACCTGGGTGCTCATCGGAGAGGGCAGACATGACTGGCCACCTGAACTTACCTCCATCTCAGGCTCATAGTATTTGCTAGCCACCTCCCTGAGTTCTTATCAGACTTTGTCAAACCACCCTGGGAAGCCTATTTGGCAAGAGACAAGTGACTTAGAGGCATAACTGGGGCTGGAGGGGGAAGAGAAGCCACAGGTATTTCCCTTCGTGGAGGCCTCTCTCCTTCTCTGCAGTCCTGGCGAGGGTTTGCCACTCCCAGCACCACCACAGCACCCTCCCCTTTCCAGGGACAATGCTCCCTCTGTGAGCATTTTATGGGATGTTTTTTCTTTCCACTTCACTTCTCAAGCCTTCGTTGTTCATGCTGCTGTGTTCCTTTTTCCTAATTCTAGCTCTTGGGGAACTTTGGGGAGCTTCCCAGTAGCACTAGCCCTTGAGGCCCAGGTGAAGTCCTTTGCTTGGAGTCCTACCATGAGCCCACAGCTTCCAGGGCTTCTGTGGGAGAGGGCTGCTCCCCTAGCCCCAGCAGGTCCTTGAGTTATTGGTGAAGAGGAGAGAGGCTGGGTCCGCAGGTGGTGCTGGCTGAGGAAGGAGGAGTAGAGTCGCACAGAGGAGCACTGACGGATGGAGAACCAGTTCTGGGAGTTTGGGGAGAGATCCAGGCAGGAGGGAGCCCACTGGGCAGAACGTAAAGCTCCGTATGGACAGCATGCATACACGGGTGTGTGCTGGAGGGTTTCCATCCAGACCCCTACGCTGGAAAAGGGTGGCTCCCATGTGATGCTGGGTGTCTGTGATCCTTCAGGAAAGTCTACAGGCTGGTACCCCAGGACTTGCTGGTCAGGAAAGCCCTGCAGGAAATGAGTGTTAGTTCTGAGGCCTGGCCCTTCGCAGCTTGGGAGGTACCGGGGCTGCTTTTGCCTTTGCCAGAGACAGCTCCAACTGAGGACCTCCCCAACGGGTCCATCCACAGTCCTTCCTTCCCCTAGCGTCTGGTAAGTGTGGGGACAGGAAGAAGGAGGGGTAGGTGGTGGCCTCAAAGTGTTGGGCTGGGGTGTTCCATTGGGTGGTACCACTGGGTGGGGTTTAAAGGGAAGCCAAGAATATCTGTGTTCCAGAGGTCACTCTTGTGACTGTGTTCAGAGCCAGCAGCCCCATGACTCTGGCATCACAACCCCCACTACCTCCAGCCATTGCCAAGTCTCTTAGAAGGTTGAGAAAGTGACTTGGCTCTCTGGGGGATGCTCCCATGCTCTTGGACTTTCCACTTATTCACCCTTCCTGTACTTCCTGTCGTGTGTGTGTGTGTGTGTGTGTGTGTGTAGGTGTCCATGTGTGATTGTCCCCAGCACTGCAGGCCTAGGGGTTACCCAACATACCCCACCAGCACTACTGGTATCCAAACATGTTTGGATTCTCTATATCTTTTCTTCTTGTTCTCAAGATCTTTGTCCCTATAACAGCTAGAAGCACCAGACTTAGCAGAAATCCCCTGGGAATTCTAGATTTACCAGATTTGGGCAGATGGGATCTTAAGCAAGTCCAGGTTGAACATGTGTTCTGGCCCTTCAGCCACAGTGTGAGAACTTGGACACTAACTCCCGGGCCTCAGGTGTCAGGGGACAGACACTGGAGATTTCTATTAGCTTCACCAGGGGCACCAGGAGCCTCAGGAAGGAAAGGTCAACAACCCAGCCTGGAGCAGTGTTTGCTTTGGAAATGCTGGGCCTTGCAGTTAGACTGATGGTACCCAGGAGGGGTATGTATGTGTGAAAGGGCGGAGCTGGGGGACCCAGAGGTCCCTGAGAAGGCCTTGGAACTCCTGACTCCCTCCCCCTCCCTACCCTAGACCACCCCCTTTGCCTTCTCCTCTGTGGCAAAGTAAAAAGAGAACTGGCATCTGAGAGTCAAGACACTGGGTTTGGGATTCAATTCTGCCCTGACCGGCTCCTTAACCTTAACCTTGGGGCAAGTTATTAAACCTCTGAGGCTTGGTTTCCAAGTATAACAGATGGACCCATCTCTGAGGTCCCAGCTCTGACATTCTGTGAGCAGTGGGAGTGAGGTGTTGTCTGTGGTTCATGGATGGACCATCATGAATACTTGGATGTTCCCTTCTTCCCTGTTTATCCCTGTGTTTTCCTCTTCTTGCCTTTGTGTGCCTTTCTCCCTCTCCCCTGCCTGTACTGCAGATCTGCCAGTGGCTTCTGCAGGAGTGACTTTCCCAACATGAGTCCTGGAGGCTAGAGGAGCTTTAGGACTTCTTAAGCCAGCAGCTGCACCAACTCTGTCCCTCCCTTACTCCATGTCACCCCCTCTGGGGATCTGTCCACTGTGTCCTGGATGAGCCATCCACTCTGACCATCTGATCCCCCGAGATTGTCCCATAATGGAGCCATTCTCTGTGGACACCGCCAGGCACTCAGAGGTCCAATGTCTGGCTCTCCTGGACTCCTTGCTGCTGGCTCCCTGTGCCCGACCAGTCCCTGGGGAAATGCCCACCTTTGGTTCTGCCAGCACTGGTGGGAACCTGCAAGAAATTTGAGCCCTGAACATCTGTCTGCCTCGTTCTGTTGTCCTGTGCTCCAGGGAAGACAGGCACGATGGCGGACTCCCCATTCCTGGAGCTGTGGCAGTCCAAGGCCGTGTCCATCAGGGAGCAGCTGGGCCTCGGGGACCAGCCCAATGACTCCTATTGCTACAACTCGGCCAAAAACAGCACCGTGCTCCAGGGAGTCACCTTTGGTGGCATCCCCACTGTCCTGCTCATAGACGTCAGCTGCTTCCTGGTGAGAGCCCTCACGAGTCGTGTCCTACTGCCTCAGTTATGTGTTTAAATCCCCCGCCCAGGGCCTTCTGGGAAACTTAGATGAGAAGTCAGATGTAGCTGGGTTTAAATCCCTACTCTGCTGCTTACCAGCTCTGTGACTTGGGCATGTTACATAGCTTCTGTGCACCTCCCCTTTCTGCTCCGGAAATGGAGATCATAATTCCTGCCTCAGAGGATTTTGGAGATTGGATAAGGCCAAAATACTCACATAGCTATGCCTGTGATTATTACCATGATTGCAGAGCTCTCTGCCTGTCATGTCTTTAAGGCCCTTGGGAAGGGTCATCTCAAGGGGTTGAGAAATGTGAATGGAGAGTATGGACTAGAATAGAGCAGCTGCAATTCCCAAGTGTCACCTCCTGTTCCCCTCTGGCATCCCTGGGGTTTTTAAAGACTCAGAAGCTGGGCTGGGTATGGTGGCTAATGCCTGTAATCCCAGCACTTTGGGAGGCTAAGGCGAGTAGGTCGCCTGAGGTCAGGAGTTCGAGACCAACCTGGCTAACATGGTGAAACCCTGTCTCTACTAAAAATACAAAAAATTACCTGAGTGTAGTGGTGCATGCCTGTAATCCCAGCTACTCTGGAGGCTGAGGCAGGAGAATTTCTTGAACCTGGGAGGTGGAGTTGCAATGAGCCAAGATTGTGCCACTGCACTCCAGCCTGGGCAACAACAGCGAGACGCTGTCTCAAAAAAAAAAAAAAAAAAAAAAAACAAAAGCTGGTTCTCAGAGCGTGCCTTCAGCAGG